GTCTCGAACCTTCCATAGCTTCACGTTGCCTTTAGAATAATATCCTAAGTCTTCATCTTGTTTTATAAGACCCTAGATGATTTGAATACTGGCACGGGGCAAGGGCAACATACGTAACCTAAACATCTGTACCCCCATAATATGCTGAAATAAAAAAAAAAATATTTAATGAAGACTTGCCATGTGCAAATCTCTTGCTAGCTGTTGGGATACAAAGTTATTACTTGTTAATAATGATTCATTTGGTATAATAAATATTTTTGAGGGCTTCCTCTGTTCTAGGCCTTTGCCTGAGTGTCAGGGTACAGAACCGAAAAAAAAGACAGACATGTTCCCTAGTGTTATGAGTACTTTTTTCTCCTGATAATGCTACAGGTGAAGATTAAAATGACAACAATGATGACATAAATGGTGCCATTTGCTGATCTGGTAATTCAGACACAATGTCAAGGTCAAGGAGTACGCACTTTAAGAACCATGTGCTGGAGCGCTTTTGGAACTTCCCAAATCTCTCTATGCTAATGAATTTTCCCACATACTTTAGGAGTTTCTTTTTCACACATTAAAAATAGAAAAATAAAACTTCAGGAAAATTACAAAGTAGCCTATTACATGGTAAAAAATAAAACAAGCTTTATGAGCTGCCAAGTTATGAAAAGCTAGATGTAGTATATAAAGGAGGTTAGCTGAGAATGGTGAACGGAGAGGCCGTAAGTAATGCTTTCTAATACAGGCATGGTATAGAGTCAGCGACAGACTCTAATTTCTTCTGCGGTAATAGTCAATAGTGCAAGGAGGGTCTATGGGATGGCTCAAATGTCTTTTCCTGGACAAACTTAAACAACTGGAAATTGCTTTCCTTCCTGCCGGCTCACTCTGAGCCACTGTCCTCTTCTTATTTAACTGAGAAAGAAAAGGTGAGACTTCTGGTTAATGACGTCCAGTGAATGTATGTATTAGTCCCTGTTCACTCCCAATATGCTACAAAAGCAACAGGAAAGGAATTTGTAACCAAAATTAATAATAATAATAATAATAATAATAATAAT